TATCTTGTTTTCACAGCTAATTCTGCTAAAGCCTGTGCAAACAGCAGAGTGCTCACAGGGAGCTGTTTGGCTCTGCACCCGAGGGGAGACACATCCCTGCTCAAGGCCACAGAGGGATGTGAACGGTGAATACAGTAATTCTTCAGAGTTGGGGTATTTCCTGTAACTAAAGGAAACACAAGAAAAGACAACCTGTTTCCCAGCTCATCCACATCACCCGTCCAGGCAAAGTGAGTGTTTTGTGGGCATGGGATCCATGGCTTGGGTGCCAGGGCTGTGCCTGCTCCCACACGGAGCTGATCCAGCTGTGCAGCTGGGCTGGCACCTGCAGCAGGAGATGCTGCTGACCTGGCTGCGATTTCAGCCCTGACTTGCCTCCCTGACCTCGCTGACACACAGTACTTAGGATCTGATGTGATGGCACGGGGTAAAGGAAATTGCAGAGGATGAAGGGATGAGTCATTGCTTAGTGGTGACTCAGAGGTTTGAGCTTTAGCATCACCTGTTGCTGCTGTTTCCACGAAAGCACAGGGAGGCTGTAGCATGCACAGAGGGCATCCTCCTGCAGCAGTGATGGGATTCTGTGTTGCTGCAGAGTGCAGGTGTGTTGCTCCATCCCTGCCCTCCTGCTGCCTTCTTTTATGGGGCAGTAGGGTTTGCCTGGGTTCTGCATCCTCCAGGGCTGTGCACATGCTGCCTTGGGGGGAAAAAAAGATGGATTTCCCATTGGTGGCTAAATTTGAGTTGGTTATACCTCAGTGAGGTTCCACTAGCTTTATTGCATGCAGCTCAGTGCAGAAAAGGAGGCTCACACTGGAGCCTGTGATGGGTGCAAGGGGATGCTGAAGTCGTGATGGGTGTCCAGGGATTCTGCTTTGCCAAAAAAAGCTTTGGCCCTGAGGATTGCTGAAAGCAAAATCCTCCTTTCCTGCCTTTGCCTGTGCTATTTATTGACAGCTTCTAAGCAATAACCTTGAAAAATTCCCCCTGTGATTTTTTTTTTATATTCTAACCTGTGGGTTTAGAGGTTTAGGAAATTAAAAGGATGATTTTAGTTGGGCAGATCCATGCTGAGGTTTAACTGAACAGCTCCTGGGTTTTGCTAGAGGTGGAGACCACTGGTGTTAAGAACTGGCTGCAGCTGAACAGGAAACTAATTGTGCTTTGGAAACTTAAAATCCCGCCTGTCCCTGTTTCTGGAGTGAGGAACTGCAGTTCTTCATCTCTGCCTGTGCAGAATAATTGAAGATTAACATATGGTATGAGGTCAGGGAAAAACATTTTGTTGTGGAAACCAAAGGCTGAGGAAATAAGTGTTTCCATTTGGAAATGAGAAATTTCAGGGAGCTAAAACTCCTGTGAAAAGATTCAGCAGAACTAACTAGGAGACAAACAGCCTCATCTGTCCTGGTCACAAGGTTGATGAATTGCACATCAGTGATGCCTTTAAAGGTGTGATTTGGGGGTTTTGGCTTTTTTTTTTTAAAGTTACATTCCTGAGTTCAGCCAGGAGCACTGAGCAGCCAAAAGCCCCTGAGTCTGTCCATGGGGGAAGGGAGAGCCCAGTGCCTGGCTGTGCTTTGGGCACAGACCCAGGGCAGTGTCTTACTTTGGATGGGAAGATGCTCCAGTGTGTTCCATGGATGTTCACCACCACCCTGTGAGTGAGCAATGATGCTGCCAAATGCCTCCATCCAGGGAGGTCACTGCTCTAAAAACTCTGCTATCAAATTAGAATCTGCAGCCCTGTTACAATAAAGCCTGTTATCTGTAATTGTGCAGCAGGGAACAGGTGCCAAAATTGCTGTTAGATCTGCAGGAAATGACTAGATAAGGGAAAAGAAAAAAAATAATAATTTGAGATTCAACTCTGCTGATGTGTTTGTCTATTCCCAGGGTCAGTGTAAATCGAGGTTTGAATTAAGCCAAACCAGCCCAGTTAATGTCTAAATCTGCCATTTCTCAGGTCCTGCAGAGGCAGGCAAACACAAAATCGATATTTGCTCTAACTGTTGCTAAGTTTTCTTTACAGATTAGTTTCTGCCTAATAATCTGCAGCTCTCCAGAGCCCTCCCTGCCATGGGCCATATCCTGCCCTGTGGCTCCCTCCTGGCCAGTAGTGATCCTGAGCTGCTGTGGCCAAGGGAAGATGTGAGGACACTGCTTACCCCCAACCCAAACCCCTCCTGCAAACCCCACCCTGCTCTGCCTTCAGGAGAGCACACAGCATCCTTCCTTTGAGAAGCAGAAGATATTTCAACCCCCTCTGGATGTCAGGCATCTTTTTTGGAGGGCTGTGGTAAGTCCCACACTGTGCAAACACTGCTGGATTAGCCCCCAGCCCTACATGCTGGACCCGCTTTGAGCCAGGAGATCATTTTGTCTCTTTATTAGAGTTATTTCTGGT